TAATCCTCCAATCTGCAGCCTACACAGAACCAAACTAATCATAGTGGCAAACAGTACTGCTTTACTCACACTGTTGCTTATAAACAGGGGCTGCCCACAAATTGTTAAGCAAACACTGTGCTGACTGCATCCTCAGAGGAAACTGCTGCCACTTCCAGGAAAAATTCAAAAAAGTCTATTGATTAGTGGTCACTGGTTGAAAATAAGTGGGAATTAAAATGAGATGTACTTTGCTAGATTGAGGGTGTAAACCAAGCAAGTAGTTCAGGACATTATTGTCTTCAAAATGCATCCATGTGAAATGCAGCCTTCACCAGAACCTTAATGCTCACCTTAATCTATCTAACACATTTTGATCATTTCATTATTTTTATCGTGGGACATACACATGTATGTTTTACAGCTTTTGTATTTTTCTATTATCCGTGTCATTATTTTCTCCAGCTAATTCCTGGTAAATGGAAAAACACATCATTCATGCTGCTCCGTCTGTGGAGTTGATCTGTTTATAGCAGATCTGATTATGTCACAAATAACAGCCTCTCATCACTGAAGGCTAGATGAGTGCACAGTAGCACATGTGCAGACTGGATCACCTCTGGAGAGCGAGCGGAGTTTCAAAAGTAACAGATATCACTGAAGATGCAGCAAACACAGCAGCAGGTCTGCTTTCATGAGCACGATCATGCTCAGTTTTCCAGTTTCCCTGAAAACAAATGCAGGAATAAATTGATAAATATGAGAGAAAAGAGATCATTTATTTGGTGACAGGATAAAGAAAAGGTATATTAAAAGGAAAGTTGGGCCTGAGCCCGTCTGTTATTCTAAATTTTGACAAGAAGACTTTATTAATTTTGTATAATTAGCAACATTTACTGTGAAAGATCAAAAGGACAAAACTAAAAGCATACAACTAATTTCCACACTGTCGGATGAATACACTTTCATTCACTGAGATCTATAAAAATAAAATATGAATGATCTGAGTCATTCGTTACCTTTACAGCATTTGCCGGATGGATCTTTGATGCATGCGATTTGCATGATACAACTGCAGACATCACATCCAATTATTAACATTACATCTGTTTCTACTACTGTTTCACACTTTATTAAGTAACACTGACTTTATTATAATGGGTTCAAAGAGAAAGTTTATTTTATATACTTGTCAGGTCCACCTAATCCTAAATAGCTAGGAGAAATTACAAATGCATCCCCAACACGAGCTCGGGTCTCAGGAGGTTAAATTGATTAACAACAATCGAGTGATCTGTTACGCATACTGATAATCCTGTCAGCGAGTGAATGATATGCTTTATCTATGACCAAGTTGTACTTTAGAAAGCTATTCACATCTTGTTAGCCACAAACTGCCACATATCTGGGCAGAAATTACAAGTATGGCAGCAAAACTCAAACTTTTTGTGTCAGATTGAGAGATGATATATGCTGACTTATGTGATATCAAAATGATCTGATTAACTGCTCTTCATTGTATACGTGAAAACACTGCTGGTGTGTATTCAGGTTTGGTGTAATGCTCGGGTATCTGAGAGAGCAGTACTTCTGTTTAAATGTTTACTCTGGTTGCATTTAATATGTAGGGATTTTGTCCATTAAAATTCTAAATTCTGCGCCTCATTACAGAGCACAGATTCTTTTAGCTATATTTGGTACAGTATATGCATTGCATTTTGCTCTTGCTAGATAAATAAAATAAAAAGTCGACTTTTCTTTCTATATTCTGCACTTTATGTTGTAGTGCATCCATTTATTTACAACTTTTAGAAATCTACACGCAGGATTTGAGCAAATACACGAGGGGAATCTGGGGGGATTAGGCTGACAGTTTTGTTTTATGAAAGACTGTCTACAGTGACAGCGACAGCTCCCTGCAACAGCAAGAGAGCCCTGTTGCACTGTCCTTCACTGAAGCCTTTTATATTATGAGTATGCAGCGTTCCCAATAATCATAGCTTTTGATCCCTGTTTGAAAAGAATGGATCTAAGTGAGAGATGGGTTTTATCTCTTTGAAACTATACGGTGAATGAGGCGCTCACACAACATTCCTAAAATGACTGCAATGAAGTTCACAATGACTGGATTTGCTTACTCCATCCACCTAAGCCCACCACCAGACAGCTGAGTCATGCCTGGCTGCCAAATGGGTTACTATCAGCAACAGTGAAGTGGCAGGACCCACTCAAACACAGGCTGAGCCAAGAAACCGATCTCCTGCGAGAAGAATGCCTGGCTGTCTTCCCGTGTCATGTAGTGGTGCTGATGGGCTGATAAAGGTTTTGCCAACTTGATTCTTCGCTTCCTGTGACACTTATGATCAGTCAAAGGTCTCGGAGATGCCGTTTTTTCCCCAGTGTGGACCCAAAGGATCTAAAGGGTAATTGTGACGAGCTGCTGACCCCTGAGCTCGGGTCAAATTTCTTCAGAAAACAAACTATCCAGTGAGGAATCAAAACTATTTCAGCTCCTTAACACTATCTAAGGACTCGTTCCCATGAGACTTATTTTCTTATCCGTTTCCTCAGTCAGATAAACTGTGATGGGTCTTACTGACAGCCAGTGATATGGCAGGATGTGCTCCTGGGAGATTTGTTTGCTGATCTTCATGTTGTTAAGACGTTTTTCATACTATTGGAAGACAGTTACTGCTCTAAATGAGAATTTTAACTACGGCTTTATGGCAATGTCAAGCTCAAACGGGTCCTATCAAATCAGGAAATGAGGAGGTAAATGAGAGATCATTTACTGCAAAACTATTTCCGCAGTCGTGCAGTAGATGAAGAATACAGGCATATTTGGCAGAGAACAAACTGCTTTCCTTAAACAGTTAAGAATAATGATGGTCACCGATTGATTTAACAGCAGAGTGCCCTCTGACACTAACTGCACAAATACATTCTTACCAAACACATTAAGTTAACAGATGATTTCCCATGGAACTGTTTGTTTATGGGTCTAATTTATCTGAGATATGTCAACAGCTAGTTTCTCATGTCTGCAGCGTTGTATATTTAAACTTTTTCACACCTTTGATTGATATGAGTGATGAGTGAAATGCGAAGCTTTAATATATGCAGTCTTTATTTCAGATGTCAAAACACACAGATTTCCACAGTGCATGTGGAACATAAGATGGACTGTAGAAAAATATACATTTATATATATATATCTAGAGGAAAAAAACTTTTTCCAGCATGAGTTGTTTGCACCGTAATTAGTATTCGTTTTAGTCAGTGGTTCTGCTCTTCACACAAACGTAACCTTCCCACTCTCATTTTAAAGTTGATTTCCACAAAATATTCTCACGATGGAACTGCAGCGATGACCTGGCCTGCTGTTTGGCACAGAAGGGGTGAAAGCAATTTTACACTTGTCCCACAGTCTTGTCTTTTATTTAAAAATTATTCTTCTTGTTATTATTATTGCTCCATTCATTTGAAAAAAGCACACATTGTTGATTGTGCCACAGATCGTGCATCTTAAGGTAGTTCCATTTTCAGGGAGTTAGTGTAAAATGACGTGCTAATGGGAGGATAGCACCAGCACTGTCCACAGTTGAATTTCTAGTCTGTATGATGATGGGCATAGCCAGTGTGATGTAATCCAAGTCATGTGAGTTTATTTCTATAGCAGATTTAAACAGACCAAATTAATTTAATAATTAATAAAGTGTTTTTGGGGACTGCACCACACAGCAGGCTGCATTATTTGTCACCAACACGTGTAACCAGATGTCCTTCTTTATGCAGGACTGCACAACATTTTTATCCCTCGTCCCGCCGTCCTGCATGTTGAGACAGTGCTCTACATTTTGATTGGCTCTGCAAGACAAAGACTTTTCTGAAGTTTGCCTTTTATTTAATACATGTGAAGTGAATGCTTTTTTATCCCATAAGTCACACGATTTTGTTGAACATGATGATAACTACCACAAAGGGTGGGCTTATTTTTCAATTTCACACGGGAGAAAATATGGTGACACAGATAAGTGATCGGATATAGCTCAAGGAAGAGCACACATATATAAAGACTATCACACGAGACCATTAGCACAAACTTCAGCTTCTTTTTAATTCCTACAATATTCACTTAGCAGTGAATAATGCCTGCTAAGTGATTGCTAATTAATCCCACTTAGTCCCATGGAAATATTGCCCCACATTTAGTTTGTCTGGACTTGGTCACCCTACCCACAGCACAAAGAGGTCCAGTTCAGTGACTCCACTTAGCAAAGGTGAAGTCTAGCAGACACTAATCAGCTGCACATCTATTAATCAATGCAGGGTAAACCCTAACGTCACTGTCCAGATGGACGAGTAAGTCCTCCAGAGTTTTTATGAAGCAAAAATGATTCAGATAGATAGAAACCGTTTTTGCACACAAGCTTAATGCAGTGACGTTGGGCACATTATATGGTAAAACAAATTCTGCCCACATGTACATGTGCTTTTTTCGTGCATTTTCTACACATAAATGACATTTTAGGTCACTGAAAAAAGAGCTCCTGAAAGCCTCATTGCAGAATTAAGACCTTCCTTTTCATTTGGAAAAGAAAAACAAAGATTTTGTTTACCTTTAATCTCCTTTATTCTTTCTTGACATGAGGCTGTTGATTATTGTGTGCATTCGGCATTTTTCTGCAATATCAGATATAAACAAAATATTATTGCTGTTAATCTTACTATTTGGAATTTTTACACAATTACATGTACACAAACAGCTACTGGGTCTTTTTTACAGCTACTGGGGGAACATTTCCCCCCTTTTCTGATTGGCTAATATTTCAGTAAGGTTAGGCTTATATCACCACCTGTTACTTTACTCTTGACAGTATGGCCAGATATTTTTCAAAAATGATGCTCATGTGGCTGTGGCTCTGTAGAAAAAAAAGCCCATCCATCCATCCATCCATCCATCCATCCATCCATCCATCCATCCATCCATCCATCCATCCATCCATCCATCCATCCATCCATCCATCCAACCAATTCAGGGTTGCAGTTAAGCTGGAGCCTATCCCAGCTATCATAGTGCAGGAGGCATGGTACAGCCTGGGCACATCGCCAGTCTCAGGGCTGGCAAAACCCCTCTTTAAAAAAATGCCTGTGTATGTGTGGACACACAGAGGTTGTTGCTAGGTTAAAACCCGCGATAACTGATTACACCATAACCATGTATAACTAGTTACCTAGCCATGCAACCTGCAAGAAGGTGTAGTTTTTTATGTCCACCTTGAATTAAGTCTGTAGCATATTAGGCATAAATGCCAAACACAAAGCTTCTTACCTCCTTCCACTGATGAATAGCACTACAGGGCTGCACGGTCTCTCTCAGTGTTCTGGTGTTATGATTGTGAGTGTGGTGTAATTTAAATATTAAATTTGTTTCAGTAATGTTTCCAATTACTTTTGTATACAGCATGTCATAAAATAATTCCTCATGCTGGACGCAGGCTATGAGAGTTATGTGCAGCTAAGGTAACTCTTTTTTATATTTTGTGTAGTTGTGCGGGTGACTAATTGTGGCAGATGGTAAAAAAAACATCTTTCCACTGCTGCAGTGGTGTCACGACGGCTTTGAAGGTCTTGATTTATTTACAGTTTCTCTGTTTGCCTCTATGCATTTTGATTTTTTACAGTACCAATGCTACCTTCTTTTATTTTAATCTTTGGATTTGTAGTTGTTTTATTGTCAGCTGTGTATTTTTAACAACACCTAACCAGTTCCATGCCTCTCGTTTAAGTGTCTTGGTTTTCTTTGCACTGATTCAATAAATAGAATCATTGACAAGTTAGTTTAATTTGTTTTATTTACATATTGCCAAATCACAACAATCGATACCTCAAGTCGCTTTATATTTTAAGGTAGAGGTGTTAAGACCCCCTATGGGCAAATTCTTTGGCAACAGTGGGAAGCAAAAACCCCCTTTTAACAGGAAGGAATCTAGCAGAACCAGGCTCAGGGAGGGGCGGGGCCATCTGCTGAGAGCGGTGAAGAAAGGACAAAGACACGGTGTGGAGGAGAGCCAGAGCCACTCTGGTCTTGTCATAAAACATAAAACATCATGCAGGCTCATTTCCTAGTCCAGTTATATAATACAGCACAGTCACCATAGACCTAATTATGATATGTATTGTATGTATAGGAGTGTAGTTGGATGGACGTTCACACGCACAGGCAGAAAACTAACAGGAAGGTCCCGTCTGAATTGAAGCTTGCTCAGGTGCCCAGTTGCTCCAGTGCATCCCACTCTTGGGTCTTATCGTCGCTATTTTGTAGATTATTTAGAATGCGGTTAATCTTTAAAGTCTTTGAAGGATTACTAAATAATTCACAGACAGGCCTGCATAAATGCAACACCACAACAAATTTTAAAGTCACAGTAAAATAATAACTAGTGGAACAGAATATGTGGGTGAGAAATACAGTTGTTATAAATACAATGTTATGAATGTACAAAACATTTTTAAAAAACTCACCAAGTGACTTGTAAAGTCAAATCATTTGCAATCTTCCAACTCTGTAGTTCCTCTCGGAGGTTTTTGGAGGAAGCTCGAGCTCTTCTTTGCCTTTTTACGCAACCTAATCACCTTAATACTTTCCTAGCAGCAGCAGCCTGACGGAGCGAAGATGAGCTGATGAAAGTAATAAAGTTGACTCCAATTTTCAATCAGAAGTAAGTGGACACAGAATCTGTGATGAACGATTCTTGCCATAAATTTATTTACAACCCTAAAAAATGAGGACATGTTATAGAGAATTATCTTCATTAACAAGAGCAGCAAAGTATCCAACATACAACAGATGATCGGAGCGCACGGTGTAGTTCTCAGACAGCCCATGTAAGTACACATCTGAAGCAGATCTTTCAAGATGTTAAAAAATGTATGAACAAATTGCTTTACATAAATTAATACCAAGATGTATATAAAATGAACAACAAGGACCTTCAAATTCAGAATTATTCTGGAACAAAAATACAGTGAAACACAACTACACTGAAAATGATCAAATATTTAATCCAAGAAGGCAGAGCAAAATGAAATATGATGAAAAATGAACATGTAGTACACCGCAGTGTTCTTGGATTTACTGCTTGTTAAAGCTTCCACTGAGGATTAGATCTTTTCTTTTTTTAAAGATGGTTGTTTGTACATTTTCTAAAACTTGAGTCGGTGCAAACACAAAGCAATTCTCCTAAACATTTGAAGCAGAACAGATGGGCCTCAATCCAAAGGTCATGTTGTCATATCACAAATGGACTTATGATGCAGACATATGTGGCAGCTCTTTAGAGCTTATGAGTCATGTTGTCTGGGGTGGCAGCTAAACGCTAGCCTTGCTTGTAATCCAGAGTGCTCAGCCTCCTTTGGGAGAAACTGCAAACAGCACCTTGTCAGAGCACATAAGCAGTAACCTCAGCCACACACAGAGCTTGTTAACTGTAATCTAAAGGAAACATATTCATGCAATATGTGATTTAGAAAGAGAAATTATGCTGAGTGAAATCTATTCTTATGCTGAGCCACATTTGTAAAGCTAACACACTTACACATTCAATATTCTTAAAGGAAAATTCCTGAGTAGGTACAGAGATTAAAGTTAATATTCTGTGCTTAGTTTTCATGTTTGATTAGTATTTAATAACTTTAACCTCAGTAAGGAATGTTTAACGCCCAGTATCAAAATGATCAAACACTGATTCATGGGAACTAATATTTCTGGCGGGGCGGGGCGCTTTCCTGTAATTACCACAAGTAGTTGTCACTTTTCCATATGTTATATATATGTTTTGCATGTAAAATTCACAAAGTGCCACAGACGCTCTCGCTATAAAATGCACTGACTCCCAACACGAGCCTCTTTGGGCCCAACCTCCTTCTGAGCATCTAAAATTCAGGGTTTAATCACAGTCTACAAATATCCTTAATCCCTTCCACAAGATCATTCTATAATCTGCAAAAGAAGGACAAAAAGTCTACTTCAAGATGAAGTCAGTTGTAATCCTAGCATATTGTGATGTATTAGAACATAGCATCAGACAAAATATTCCTCCCTTATTATGTAAAGCCCCCCTCTTCCCTTCTTATCAATAACACAATGCACCGTTAGAGTAAATATAACCGAAAGTCACTTTTTGGGTTTTTTGATTTTAATGAATGAGCTCCACCCTGAATGTTTCCTTACACGTGGCCTCCTACTCGTCCTTTTCCATCTAACGGTTGCACCTGTTTTTAGGCAGACATTAACAAATCCCATAATTTGTGCATAAGCACAGAATCTCAGTGCGCTCTGCGTAGCTGCTGCTGTAAAATATCAGCATTAGCCTGGATTTCACTGGGGAAGCCACAGGGTTTAGTACTACTGTCACTTTATAGCAGAGAGGTTCACATATTTGTCCCCGTGTCTGTGCATATTTCCTCCAGGTGCTCCAGTTTCTCCCCACAGTCCAAAGACATGCAGCTCAGGTTAACTGGAGACAATAAACTGCCTGTAGCACAAATGTGGATCTGTCTACTGCAGGGTAGCACAGTGATGGATTGGCAGGTGCTTTTCTCCTTTCATCCAGGGACAGGCTTCAGCCTTTCCACAAAATAGGAATTAGGTACATGGTGGATGACTTTCAATAGTAAGTATTGTTTGACACATGATGGTATAATGGTGTAAGTCACGTTTAGTAAGAATTGGGCTCAGGACAGAACCTTTGCATGTTGTACTTTGTGTTTTTAATGTGGACACAGAAAAAAAATATAAAGATAAATGTTTAATAAGTTGAATAAATTAAAGGTTTGGTTAGAATCCTTGCTCCTATATTCTGAAGTAAAAGATCTGCTCATGTTGTGTAGCTACAAATGTTTTCTTAAAGTATGCTTGTAGGAAACAAAGCACACAACACAAACAACACAAAGAAGAAAATATCTTCCTGCTTGTAATTGGACTGACTGTTCTGGAAACTTTCTGCTCCCAAGAGTAATGTCGATTTTATTTCAAACAATTTTTTGAGCACCCTGGATTCATGTTTTTCATAATAATGGATAGTATGTGTATTCCTCGTGTACATGTTTCAAACTATTTGGTTTGTTAATTTATGCTGATTAACTGATTCCTCGGTAATTATGCTCAAGTAATTACAACATAAATCTTTTGTGTGTGAATTCCCTGCACAAAACGTCAAGCGCAGATTCAGTGACAAAGATGACACATTAAAAAAACAGATGAATAATGTTTAATTTTGAGCAGTACATGTAAATCAGAAATGTTTCTGGGCAACAGAAACATGAGGGGTTGAAAAAAGGCCTCAGCCTCGCTTGAACTGTCTATGATGAGGAGCTCAGATGGTCATTTTTAGAGCAAGGATAAAGGGTCCCGCTGGGGGTCTGAGTGCACAAGAACCCATCTGCAGGTCTATTGAAAAAACAAAATGGCAAAAAAGAGTCTGCTGAGGTGGGCTCATCTACATTCCCCTGACACTGTGCAGGAGCCCTGGAGGACTGGCCAGGACATAGGAAGTCATAAATGATTTTCTTACCACCGCAGGTCCTTACTGTTTCAAGAAAATGACCAGAACGTATGAGATAAAAAGGAAACGTGTTTTGAAGCCCCAAGAGTCAGGAGAACGTGCACGACAATGGAGAGCACAAAGAAGCAAGAAGTTATAAGTGCAATTATTGTAGTTCTTATTATTCTTTCTCAGTGTCTGAAAGCTTATGTTAACCATGAAGCTATGCAGTTCTCTATTGAAAAATTACCAAACTGCATTTTGTAATTTTGGTGTTAATTATTAACCCAGGTCATCAACCTATTACTTTGTAAGCTATTGACAAAGCCTGCTGTGCGCCCCCTCCTCCTTCTATCCCAACAAACCCAAATTGAAGAATCATTGAACAAACTTTTTCATGTAATCATATGCATATTTTATTCATGTAATGATATGCAATCATAGCTAAATCTTTCCGTGTCAGCAGTTCCTGTATGCATGGCCCAAACAGAGTTTCCTGTAACAGAATAGATAAACAGCGTTTGCCAATAAATATCAGAATAAGTGGCTTAATTTAGGACGCTCAAAAATGCACATTTCCCCTTCGTTAAATCCACGGTGCATTTCCACCAACTTAATTACACAGAATCCTGTGCCCTACTTATATCTACACACTATGGTTCCTTCTCACAGGGGGGTCCCAAGCAGGCAGTTGTAATAAATATCAGACTCCCCGTGAAAAACAGCTTACCCAACTATGAAGGCGGTAGCTCCAAGATGGCTAAGCTGCTCCCAAAACAGTAAAAGCTGTCACGTATGACTTGTGTGTGGTGATGAATCAGCTGGAAACTAAATCAGAACTGCTAAAAAAGAGAAATTCACATCCACTGTATCATATTCTAATAAACCACATTCCCTACCAGTTGGGGGGGGATTATGACTGTCCATTTGTCTAGGCCAGGCCACCACTGTTAGGGAGGAATTCTCTCTTTGTGTCTGCACCATGCAAAGTTAAAAGCGATGGTGGTGACTGCTGTAAGTCATTTGTCTCTGGTAACACTGGTTTGTAGGAAGCTGGGACCTCAGCTCTAGTGGATGATACATTATTGCTATCACTTGGCCTTGTTTAATTACATCCATGTATGGGGTCTGGTATCATATTCTTCAAAGCATATCAATCATGGGAAACTTTAACCAAGGTCCAAGTTATTGTGTCATATAATCCGGTGTTTGACAGAATATGTGAAAGAATATTTCAGCAATAACTTAAGAAACAGTATGGTATCTCGACAGCTAATCCATTAATACGGTTTATCGCAGCCGCAGAATATAAAATGAATTCTCTGGCTTTTTCTTGAACTGCAAATGAATAATGAACAGCACATGAATGTAGATATTCCTTGAAAAGCTTTTGAAGAACATCTACTTTTTCTTCGAGTGTGCGGTTTAATTTTAGCCTCGTGTTGTTTATTAATCACACTTCCTTTCATAGTTATCACCGTTAATTTCGCCGCACAGCATTTTTGTAAAAAACAAAAATGCATTGAAGCACCTATAGATAATCCCAAAGACATAATGCCTTTCTTTGGGCTCACAGAAATTGTTACAGCCATATATGTTTATTTAGGACAGTAACTTCAAATAGATGCATGTGGATTCATGATCTTGATAGATTTAAGTGCATTATTAACTTTGACACGCACACACAGACATATTTATATACCTAAACCTTGTGATAGATGCAAAGAAAAATTCTCCTTGTACCTACCAATTAATACTTAATTAGTACTTTTACATTTTATTCATAGTGATTTTTATTGTGCAATGGACCTAAATTCCCTGCTATGCTTTACGTGCACAGAGTGTGGCTTATTACATTGCTAGCTATGTAATCATTTTATATTTATATATATAATATTTACAGGTTAAATGCATTATAATTGCTGTGGTGTCATCCAAATATGACTTTACTGGGATCAGATGACAAGATCAAAGCAATTCTTCAAACTGAATTTGCCAAACTGTGTTGTACAGCCATTTGTGTTTGTGCTTATTTTGCCCCCTGTAGCCAATCCAGAGACACATAAACAAACTGAAATGAGCTCTGCATGGAGGCTGATACGTCTCGCTATAACCCAACGCTACACAACAACTTAATGGGTATTTGATAGACTTAATAGACTCATATCTGGTCTGAATTTATGACTAATGTGTTGTAGCTTCATTACTAAGTTTGCTGAAGAAAAGCTGAAACTCGGATCAAACCAAATATTTTTCTGACATGGCAGCACTCTGGGGAACAGCCGGTGTGTGATTGTTGGCTTCTCTGTAGTTTACATATTGTAAATCTAAGAAATTCAAGCATCTCCCTCTGTTAACACAGTGTGCAGTTATGTTGGGAGAGTTGTCCTGCAAATGTTTCCTTCTATTCGCGCGGGCCATTTTTCACACGCAACGAGATCCTTGTGTATTTGTGCAACAGTTCTCTTGTCTACATTCGGCAGCTGCAATCTTAAGTCAATGATTTTTTCTCTTCCTTTCCCCAGTTGATGAATTGAATAGGAAAATCCCTCTATGTTTATCCAGGGAGAATATCTCTCAGAGTGGCAAAAATGCAACAAATCCACAATGAAAAGTAAACCGAACCAATCTTTCCCTAATCTCTGCTTGAGAGTAAAATAAAAACTAGATTTTGAGTCTACGTCCTGAGTCAATCGCTCCCCGGATGACTAATGTGTTGCTGGGATAGAAGCTTTGCAATGTGCGATGAAATCTCGCAGGGCCTTTGTGGCTCTCACTTGCTGGACATCCCCATTGAGACAGTAAAGAATAGGTGGTCACAAGGTATGGGCACAATGAAACAGAACTCAGGGACTAGAACAATTGCTTAAGCTGTCAGAGGGTGACAGAAACTGTAATTAATGATATTTTCTATTTTCACGGAAGAGAATGAGCAGCTGACAGAAGCATTATTAATGAGAGCTGCCTTGTTGAAGGGAATAATGGCAGTTTATTAGAAGCAAGACAGATTTAACGGATCTCTCTCAAACAAAGGCTTTAGACACATTGAAAAATGGAGACAATCTGCCTTAAAGATCTAATGGGAGAAAATGTTCAATACAACAGAAATGTCTGTATTGTGATCATATTCTTTTTCCCCTCGAAACCATCTGTTAGGCACGTCAAGAATAAAAGAATTCATTTTTGTTTTTTTTCCTTGATTTTAAAAGAAGTCGCTTATAGCAAAGTCTAACAAAAGTATTTTATTTTTACTATCGCTGCAATTAATCTACAGAAACAATAGCTTGACAGGTACATAGATGGATATTCTTAGTGTTAAATGCAAAACTATAGCTCAATGTCTAGTGAAACTGTCACCTATTAAATCAGAATTATGCTGTTAGAGTGGTTTCCACTCTATATCGAGGATTTCCAACATGATTTAGTATCAACAACTTTGTAAAAGTATACTGCAGAATTTATACATGTGACACAAAGGTATCGCACTTTTGGAAGATTTATTGCGTTCTACTGAATAACATTAGCTTTCTGTTTTTTTCTATTTAGACAGATGTTGTTTAATAGACTGACACAAGTAGGGCAATAGTTTCTATTCACCAATCCAACCAATCACTTTGAGAAAGCATGATGATCCCATTATTCCTCACAGTGTCTCGCGGATTTAGGCAAGATATAAGTATTTTTGAAGTAAAGCAGATAATGGCAATATTACCACGGGGTGAAAAAGATTTGTGTAACATATTCTGGCAGTGTTTCAACAGATACTCCACTGCTTCATTCATTTCACTGGACTGAAATATGGCTTCGATGTGATACTACAGGCATATTCCACTGAATAGACGTATTAGATGATTTCCAGAAATGAAATGATATCTCCCCCCCGAACCTATATTCAGTTCATGTAATTGATTCTCATCCAGCAAGTTTGACTGTATTATGTTTGTTTGAAAAGTTAAAAGAATTCGGCTAATTTCTCCCCAACCAGGCAATACTTAACCAGATTAGAGTGGCCACTTCAAGCTTTGTTGATGCATCCAAGTGAGGCAGGGCAGCCCAGCTGCAAAAGCTGATCAAAAGAGAGAGGGGGAATGTGATATTAGCATCAAGTGCTTCAGCGAGTGACTCAGACAAAAACATTGAAAAAAACATCATTATTAGACACTTCCTTTACCCATGTTTGGAAGTGAATATATCTGTTTGTCAAGCAGCTGTGTGCATCCATACATGGCATTGATTCGTACTTTAACCAGCATTATAAGGCAATTCCTCTTTTCCTTTTTGCAACCCCTTATTGGTAATATGCTAATGACATCCGCTGTGATTAGTGATTTTCTTCTAATCTTTATTCCACGGTGGCCTGAGCAATCACAGAGGTAGAGCTTCGAGATTTCGAGCAGTGAGCTTCTTCTGACTGCTCTTCCCGTCTGCCCCGACTTGATTTAATCTGAATAATAACTAAAAATTTGGATTCAAAGGCCACTGTGGTGCACCGATGCGCTTTTGCGGATTCAGGAAACACACTCAGAGGGAGACACTTTTTGGCCGTCTTAACCCAACCTGTTCTGATTAAAAGGTGTTTAAAAGAGGAAATCCTGATATATTGCTACAATAATGCTTAAAAGGCAATGTGTGGCATTTTAAAAAATCATTTGGGAAACATTTATTGGACCATCTTTTCATCCTACAGCCCATGTGTCAAAGTATCCTTGGGCAAAATACTGAATGCAGAGCTGCCCAAGGAGTCCGTCAGACAGTGTGAATGTTAGATAAAAGGGCTTAGGTACAGACAAAAGCGTTGCACTTTTAGTAGGATGCACTAGTTAATTTTACACCGAGCACTAAATAGGAAACAGAAATAAACACTGCCTGGTAAGACATGTAACCACTGTAAACTTTGGTTATTTAAACTCAGAGACATCTGTACAGAGACATCGTGAACGCAAGAAAAAAAGTCCTGTGGGGATTGTGGGGGTACTCTAAATATTTCTGTGGTCTCACACTGTTTCAGGCGTTTCAAGCCTTGTCCATCAAGAACACAGAAAAAAGGATTATATGAATTTTCCAGTTAACTCACACCGTTAACCAAAGAGAAAGTCCGTTTAAACTCCAGCTTAGAACATTTAGGAAGACATCATTACAAAGTTCACCCCTTCCCCAAAGCCAAGTATTGAAATGAGGTCTGTCATTTATTCTAGTAATTGAAATACTTTCAGAAGTTTCTGTTGAAGTCTACCTGTAATAAAGTGTCTTTGAATGGAAAAGACTACAGGGTGCACTTACCAGTGCGCGTTTGCATTGAAATGCACTTGGAAGCCCTCCCTAATTGGCAGCCATCTCATTTGGCTTTGATATTGCACACCATCATCTGCATGAGCAGAACAGGCCATTGTCTGGGGGATGAAGTACAGGTGAGTAACAGGCTAATCGTCAAAGACAGCGCAGGCAATGCTGGGTTCAACATGAAGCCATAAAGTAACTCCAAAGTAGTGTCAATTACAGCTTATATTCATAATAAACTGTTCATCCCGGCGATGTTTCGACTCAGCTCGGGATGAACTGTGTTATATAAAGTGGTAATGTGGGCAGTAAAATGTGACTTTAGACAGCGAGATCCAAGGACCTTCTAATTAAGAGCGCCATCTTCGAGACATCATGTGGAGTGATCTAATGGTGAGTGGCCATGCATGCTTTTACCTGGAGTGTGCTTTATCTACCAGTGCCTCGCAACGGGACCTTAGACCAACCCGTCTCCTGCTTTAGTGCTGAGGTATGAACTGCACGGGTCCTAGCAGCCATTCAAGGACCATTACAACCTGAGTGAAACGAATGGGCAAAGTGTTTATGCCATGTAGTACAAACAGCGTCGCCAGTGTGAGCTATCATAGGTGTATCTCAGCTTTGGATACAGCCATGCTGCTCCAGAAGGTGTGGCGATAGAATTCACACCACCTGCAGGAGTGAAAAAGACCTCCTGCATTGTTTCGTGATAGGGTGAATTCATGCTATTACAGTCATGCAGGTTTCATCCTCTCTTTAGCAGTCAACTATAACCCATCTCAGAGATGCTAGGTGCTAATTACAAAAGGAAGAACTTGGAAAGAGAAAGCAAACAACGGAATCCAAGATAAAGGATTAAGACAGGTGCCTAATCTTCTGTTTTGGATGTTTTGGGCTTGACAGGCTCAGAGCTGCACATCCTCCTACTTGTAGGTTCATACATTTCACTCTGAACCTGTTGCTAAAAGCAGTGATTAATCATTTAACTTTCCCACAGTCATCCTCGGAGCTTCACAGTGTATGAAAAGCATTAAAAAAGAGTCGCTGCTGGTGGGACGTGACAAAGCAACGGCCCACTGACTTAACTCAAATTAAATGGACAATTTAAAGCGAGCAGAAACAGAGGAGGAGACCGTGGATTGCTATTTTCATATTTTGATATAATTATTTTCAGTCCACTAGAGAATAAAAGCAGAGAAACCTAAATTAACTCCACGGTAAGCCCCTTTCTATTCACCTTTAACCCCCTTATATTCCATGCTCTAAAATATCTCCGTAAACAGCTTTAAATAAGCACTGCTTTATTATTTTCTTTGCAAAGGTTTGTCAGACATTTGCACAACTATGTATTGGTGTGTCATAACTCTACTGAGGGTTGAAAAATGGATTTAGTTAAGTGCAGGAAGTATTATGTTTAGCTCAGGGCAAAGTGTTCTGTTGAGTTATAGCAGCCGATTACCCACAGCTCTGGTCCGAGGACTACATGGGGTATTTGTTTACACCAAAGGAAATGAAACTATTTCCATTTAACTGCCCTGATTATTGGCCTCCTTTGCTTCATTCCTCAATACATGTGAAATGTTTCCTACTGTTACAATGGGTATCTTTGCTCTGACCACAGCAAATAGAGGAAAAAAAACCCCTCTGAGCGAGGAAATAAAAAAGGTGTGTATTACGTGAAGCATTGCGGACGAATCCTGTTTTCCATTATGTCTTCGTAACCGAATGAGTTTTTATGCAGAGGTGCTGATGCAATTAGCTGTTCCCCTCCTCACCGTGTGCCAGATCGTGCTTCGGTTTCAAAGAGTCAAAGAAACACTATCTTGCTCCAATTTCTGGAGACCTGTGCTTAATTTGGCCTCCTTTATCTAACAGAGTTTTTCTTTTTCAAACACCATGTGGTTTGCTTTTGGTTGAATCCAAATAATGGACCACAATGGCGAGCAACCGGGGGCTAAGAGACTGATGTTTTAACTGTGATACATCCACATTTTTATCTCCCACTTTAACAAGTATATCCTTAAGAAACCCCACTGCTGCAGAGACCATTATCTATGTTTCATGAATAGAAAAATATCAATGCTGGAAGCAGAGAGAAAAATAGAAATGTGGCCCTTGGTTTTTGAAAAGAGCCGAGCATTAGGTTGAGCTTCTGCGACGTGCGTTGGAAACACATATTTTAGCCACGTTTATCTCCATTGCTTGACAAAAGTACTGACAAAAGCTCCATATCTTGATTTCCAAGTGCATATACAGTATTTCGGCATAATCCCTACCAGGAGTGAGTGCCGCGCAGAGAGATAGAGGGAAGGTTGTGGGCAGTGGAAAAAACGATGAGGTTGATCCCTCGTAAGCTGGCCCATGGCCTCAACCCTGCAGCATTTATCTGAGCAGCAGTGGTAGTGAATCCATCACCAATCGCACAGATAAAAAGACACCCCTGCTGTCCCTGATTCTACTGCCCCCTTGAGGAAACAAAATGACAAAGGTAATAAATGCATCCAAATGCATCATTACACTCTGCGTTCAAGGTGGTTGTAGGTATCAGTCATTTTTACGAGGCTCTTGTAAAGCACACACTTCAGCTATAAGTGAAATGCTCTTCTCTGCTATTTTGCAACACAGATTATGTGACACGAGTAAAAAGGCAGGCACAGTTTATTCAAAGAAAACAGACCCTGTGCCTTTAATTTTACACACACAGTGAAGTAAAGACAGAAAAAGTGTAAGAAATACACCCCCGAAATCGGTGTTTCGTTTTTTATTGCTGTGGCCATTGTCTTACAGCTTCGGAACAAATCTGCGGAGCAAATCTACAATCTACTGTCTCCTCAATATTAAATTGTTACCCACCAATTACGCGGAGCACAGATGCTTCATCCAATCGGCAGCTGGTGTGCTGTATATTTCCGTTAATATTTCACATTAGCCTGTAGCGCTACATAATACCAGATGATTGCTTGTCTGTTATGGTATACGATGAGAAGTGTTCGGGGCTGCTAATGTGAGACGTCTCTGTTTACCACTTTGATGGATGGCCTCCCTGATAGGACCTGAGTTACGTTCAGGGGTGTCACAGGAAAAAGATGACAGATGGGCCCAGCTGTTTAAGATATCGACACTTTGACCAGACCATGAAGACATTAATCACAGCATGACTAAGCAGCACGGTGGGAGAACGGGTGACTTCTCTTATTAAGACACAAGTCGTGATGGTGGGAAAACCCTGCGTAACACACCGTTCAGTGATCAGAAGTTATAAATATTATGGCGAAGACAATGCAGAAGCGACCCAAGGAACTTGTAACATGATTAACCGTCACCAGAGATTAGGGGCCAGTAATAAAGATAAACGGGGGGCTGTTGATGCTGTAATATGATATCAAGGGATGGCAGCTATCCAAGAAGTCAGTGTCACAATGAAAACGAGGGCACTAATGGCTCTTTGGGATCTGAAGACTCACTCGCACCACGTTGTCTCGTTGATAACACACAACTGGTACTAGTCTCGCCGGAAAAGATGCTGCCATGTTATTTCTATATTGTGCCTCTCGATTAAATATTTATCCACCTTGAGAGCATCACCTTGTAGTTTGGTTCAAAGACATTTATCCCTGCTACGGTGATTTCTATGATGATCCTCTTTGATACTGACAATTATTTGAGATGATAGTTTCTGTGTTGATATGTTTCTTATACATGTGATAATTACAAGGCAGTGATTGGCTGTGTTTTAGCTAAATATTAAGATGCACAAGTCATATTTAAAGTTTATTTAAACTTAAAAATATTTTGGGATTATTTTACTGCAGATTGATTACAGTGCAAAACTTTTCTTCTCCTGTCATAATTGATGTTAATTTCAATGCCTCACAACCTGCACAAAAAAGTGACAGAAAAGACAACAGAAGTCTGGCTGACAAATTAGACTTGAAATCGTTCATTAACATAATGTCTAGAAGTTCATTAATAACGCCGTTTTAAATTATTCATGGTCTTGTTTCACTAGATACAGCATGTTTCCTCCTGCTGAGCTCCACATCTCAATTGGCTAAAAATGGTATAAAAAAAAAGAGATGTGAGAGAACGAGGGGATGAAAATAAAGGAAAAAAATGAGAGAGAGAGAGATCACAATGCACACAAAGACAGGTCATTATTTCAGCACTGCGGGGAAGACAGTTAGACACTACTTTGTTCTGTTCAATTTGACTCTGTGCGACACAACATGCAACCACAAGCGTAAACCAGCGTATACCTTATTTCAAAAAAAACAAAACAACTATGCATGTCATAAGTATGACTGTTTGACTACCCACGGAGCTGTGTATTTGCTGCACAGCTTGGTATACTATGGATATCCCACTGTTGTGATCAAATAGTTACTTGGCTAGCATTCGTGAAACTATGGTTTCACACCAGCTGTACCGCCGTTTCAGACATTTCAAACTTTGAAGCAGCTCCTAGCTGTTTGTGCTAGCCTACTTTGCCTTTCACCTTTTTTCTCACAGTGATTTCTACATGAAATGAACATCCTCACTGGTGCACGTTTCACTTACCCAGAAAAGCACAAACCCCCCCCAAAGTGATCAGTTTGCTCGGATCTTACAAATGCTTCATTCTATAGAAAAGCACTTTGATGCTACAGAACCCAGTGTCATCAAGGACGGCACTAACATAGTAAACAGCAAGAAACACAATGTTTCTTTCCTCTTCCTGAACTGGAATAAAAGGGGATCTCATTTTTCTTACCATAAATATTATCTCTGGTAAGTAATTTTGTGACTACAATTTGATCAGACATGCTTAATATTCTATTGAAATGCCACAGGCTTTGGCAAGCGCCCACTCAACATACCTGTGCAAAGGAAAGCCATCTTATATTTGAAATGCTGAATAGTGATGAATGAATGGAAAACATATCTGCATGATTTTTCTCTCAAACATAGTTTCATACCGGGTGCTTAGCAACATTGCAGCTGAGCAGATAAAGGAGGAGGCGAGAGAAATCCTCGCTGACAGCTGCTTTCTCCAAGCTTCTCCATGTTGTAAAGATGTACCCTCAGAACTGTATTGAAACAACTGACCCCATTGTTCCCAGTGTAATTAAAGAGACCACAGCTGAAAACGCTGGGCCACATGGCCAAAAGGGGCTTTCCACACTTTTTCAGCATGCTGTCCACTGTAACATTATGAAGAGCGACGAACAAAAGCTTCTTAAAATCAAAGACTCCATAACATTTTAATTTATGCATATATGACCTTTTGTGTTGATTTCAAATTCTGCTGCATAAAGAAAAAGAGGTCCATCTTTCACGTTGAAACAACGTCTCAATAAATTTGCACTTGGGACACTAGGCAATTGAAAATGGCCCATTTTTTCTAATCATAAGCACTGCATGAGACTACTTGGTTTTTGTGTTTAGATTTCGTTTTAAAAATGCTAAAGCAGATTACTTGTATTTTTCTCTTTTGTCAAGCTTAGGGAAATTTGGAAATTTGAATAAACAGTGAGCAACTCTTGCAACATACAAATTT